CCAATGCTTTTTGATACATAAAAAAAACCCCCAAACCCGGCCCCCCCCCCCCAGGTTTTGAACTGTCCTCAAAATCTGTGCCTAAAAATAAAACAGTGTTTTGGTATTGTAAAGAAACTTATCTTGATCCCTTGACCAAGGAGCTGTCTTATTTTAGTCATTCAAAATTATGTGCTCTAGAGCCTAAAGTGTGTCAGATTTCAGTGGTGAGTAAATAAAATATTTCAGCCCTTAAAAATGGAATTTCTGGATAAAATAGTCTTTTATACTTCCCGAGTGCTTGTAATAAAGGATTTCACATGCATTGCAAATACCAAGATTTCCTTGGCAATATTGATTTTATTTTTGCATTAGTATTTCCACGTTCAGATTACTCTTTGTCTTCTTAAAATTAGATGACAAAATCCCGATGAAAATTTACAATATATTTCATATTTCATTAGCAGTAGATTGCTGAAGTTATGTCTGTCACATACAGTTTAGTGTAAGAATAGCACAGATCTTTTACTGGGTCTTAAAAGGAACCTGAAAGATCTAGTCACCCACATCTGGCTGACTATTGGTGGGAATGGGACACTGTAATTCCCACTAAGATTCTGTGAAAAATTCTTTCTCTCTTTTTTTTTTTTTGACACAGCCTAATGAGTCTTGCACATGGCACAAGGGAGCTATTATTTTTCAATCAGAAATGTATGTCAGGTTTGTGCTCTGAATAAACATTGTGTTCTTCTCTTGTTCTGCCAGCTTTTAGATCATGTAGTAAAATTTGAAAGGCAGAAATATGAAAGCCTACATGTCTGATGCCAGTAGATGTTTATAGCTTTGGGGGATAGGACAAGGGTATGTAGCTCAGATTACTGGGGATTCACTTACAAGGTGGAAACCCACCATTAGAGATCCACTATGCCCTTGGCACGTTTGCTAGTGGGAAACCACACCTGTAGATGCACATACAGATTAAAATGTCACCATGCAGCAAGGACACAGGATTCCCTGTTTTGATTTTCAAATCATTTTTTGTTTGAACAAGCGATTCAGTTACAGTGCCCCACTGAGACTGCCCTGGCAGGTAACATTGTGGACCACAGGTTGTATGTTGTACACCCTTTGGATAGGGGTTTAAAGGAATCTTTTTTTTTTTTCTCTCTTTTTTTTTTTTTATATATACTTGCACAGCATTCGATTGGGAATATTTCTCAGACGGTATCCCATTGCAAGGGTGTTTGTAATCATTTATATGGTGAGTACGTTGTTAAAACACTGTGCAGATTTATTTTTTAGTCAGTTTTCTAAAATACCTACCTTAATGGAAAAGACTTTGAGTAATATTGAAAAGAGAGGAGATGTATAATTAGTTTTGACAGTTTGGCATATCTTAAAGTAAACTATAAAGACTGCGTATATTAAATAAGATTTTGAAGTTGTGTAGCTTGACAGATGTATTTCTCCTCCCTTTGTTATGCCTTTTAACATTTTAATGCTTGTGTAACTAATTTTAGTTTTAATATTGTTGTTTCTTTTATAAATGTTAATATATAGCAAATCTCTGATTTGATTTAATTAATTTTCATTAAAATAATGAGGGAAAGTGATGTTTTAAGTTTAACACTATAGTTTCATTTCATTCCACCCTATTGAGTTAATGATTTTCATGGTCAAATGGCTGTAAAAATAGTGAACCTGACTTTTACCCACATACTATATGATTACTAACTTTTCTTGGGGGGGTGGAATTCCTTGCAGTTCCACTAGAGGGCAGAGGAATCTGTCAGTTGATATTATTTGTAATTATATAAACAAACCTTGCTGCAGTGTAGTGTACTTGAAAAGTGTCAGATTGCAATGGTCTCATTAACTCCATTTCTTCCATGCATTGAAAATGCATTGCGTGAGAAACTAATCATGTTTTAAAATCAATCTCTAAGATGCATGGTAACTTAGGAAATGCAAAACAAACACTTTCAAATGAATTAAGTTTTTTGCACCACTATCTCTTCTATCTTACACCTGAAGGAAGACTTGGGCCATTTTAATTCTCCTCTTTTCCACAGGAACTCATATATTAAAACAGTTCCTGTGGATTTGTAAGCCATTATCTAAGGTTTTGAATAAGTATTAATTTTGAAAGGAGGAGATACAGGGAAGGGAGATTTAAGAAATTTTTCTCACTAAAAAATTGTTCTGGGAGAGGGAGCAGTACAAGCATTCAGGCTCCCTTTTCCCGTGCTCTCCATGCCTTTCACAAACTGAGGATCAGCCCAAAGAAGGCATAGGGAGCAGCAGCAGCTTCTCTGCTCGTCCTAATCCCAGGAGACTGGAGTAGTGGGGCAAAGCCCCCTGCTCGCTTTCTGGTGGAGCTGCAGGCACAGGCTTTCTTTGCGGCACGCTGGGGGGAACTTCATCTGGGGGGAATTTCTACCTGTGCAACATATTCAAAGCCCATGGCTGCAGTTCCCAGGAGCAGAGCAGAATACAGTAGAGGGAACAGTGGTGGAAAGCCCCTAACCTGTTGCCCAAACTGGTCTTGGACTAGACCAAACTGGTCTTGGACTAGACCAAACTGGTCTTGGACTAGACCAGGAGAAGAGTGTACAACCAGTCACTCATGGGGGAGAGTTCCTTTCCCAGAAGGAGTGTGTTTCCCCCAGGAAAAGTAGAATGAATGCTGGTATGCTTGCAGTTTTACCAGGAGGGTGATTCATTCTCCTGATAGAAATACAACACCTGTCCCCTAAGGTGAATCTCAGTCAGCACTGTAGATGATCCCTGTATTGGGCCAGCACTAATAGGATCACTAATTTTCAGCAAAGATGGCACTACTAAAAGGAAGCTCAGATGTACTAACTGTAATTTGCTGTAAAATTTTTATTGATTTGGAAATAGTGCAACATTTCACTGTGCAAACGGTAGTTGTTTTCCTACGTGCAACTGAAACAGCCTAGGACAAACATTTCATGGAAATTGGTTCAGAATTAGTTTCCATCTGACTGTTGCAAATAATGGGTGGCAGTTTATGCAACAATACTAACATCTGTTTTTCTTTTGCCAGGCATTGCTTCACCTCTGGGTCATGGTCGTTTTGCTTACTTACACCCCAGAAATGCATCATGATGGTCCAAGTGGGAAATAGACTTTATGCTAATAGTGTATAAATTCTGGATTGACAGTGTGTTTAAAATGACCAGTACTGAAATGTCAGCAAACTTTCCTGCACATTATATAAAGAAGGAATAACAACCATCATGCCTGTTTTATCATTACTTCTAAAAAATTAAATTAATACAAAGCTATGCTATACAGCTTCTTCAGTTTCCTTAAAATAGTCCGAGTTTCCTGGAAAAAGACAGTTGTTGAGCCAAGCCAGGTTTAGCATTTGGATTTTACATAAACCTTGGAATGGTTTGTGTGCAAAACAAGATTCACACCTGCAGAGAGGTAACAAAGATTTCAAAGATTAGTTGTATATGGGACATGCTGTATTGTAGATCATACTGGATATGGGCTATAATCAGGGAAATTAATTGTACTTAGCAATTTAAATAAACTTTATTCTTTCTGTTGTTTAGTCTGTTTTTGCACTTCTGTTTTAAAGTATCTATTCAGATTAGTTGTTCTTAAACATGTTAAAATGCTGTAGAATTGACAATGGATCAGTGCAATATTTTTTGTAAATATCTTTAAAAATAAAATATGCATTATTCTTAGTTTTGTCCTTTAGCACAGCAGAAATGCATTTTTCTTGGTTTAAATCTGAAATGTGGAATTTTACCGTGTACAACATGCAGTTTAAGCCACATTATAGTTAACTTGTCATTTAATGCGTTAATTTTACCATAAATAGTAAGTGTTACACATTTAGCCAACTTATGATGCCATAAAGTAGCAAACCAGCCACAGAGTTATTCAGCAAATGTTGTGGAACATATTTTGTGGCTTGTTTGTATGTTACTATAAATTTGAACATGTAGCACCCGTAAGGCTGATGCTAACAATCAGCTGATTGCAAGCATCAGCTTGGGGATGGGGTTGGCATAGGGACAGCCCTAGTCCTGATGCCCAAAAACTGCTGCCAGGAGGGAGGGGGTTGCAAGGTTGCCTGGTAGGGGATGCCATGGGACTCTGGACACTAGGAACTTAGAATCTCTGAACCTGGCAGCCTTTCCTATCTAGCAAAGCACTTAAAAATGCTGAGTTGTGGGGAGCTGGGTCAAACCCACACTTTAGATGCCACTGAGCATAAGGATCCTGGGCTGGGGGAGATGTGCCCCAATCCAAGGGTCCCAGTATGCCAGAACTTCTGGGAGCCATGTATGCAGCTAGGTTGTTGCTGGGCAGGCTGACAATCAACTGATTCATCAGATTTACCCTGATAGACCTGAGTCTCAAATCCACCCAGGACTGCTGGGGCCAGTCCAACAATTGGCTGATTGTCAGACCCAGCCCCAACTGCCCAAGGTCTTGAACTGAACTTGGGACTGCTCGGACCAGGTCAAACAGTTAGATGCACACCCAGCATGGCAGGAGGTGTGATGTTTAGAATGTGGTACAGAAGTTGTTCAATCCCAATTGCACTATCATTAACCTCTGTTAGGGATCTAGGCTTTAAACAAGTTGCATTAATCTATTTTGAAAACTGCCCGTTTCTTGCACACTTTGGGTAATTTTATATTTGTACTTACTACTTTTTATTTTATATCTATTATCAACTTATTTAGATTTTTCAGATTTTTTTTTGTCTGAAATCTGAAGTACTTAATTAAAACATGGTTTCTGTACAAATACATATTCACACACAATTTCAGAAACTATATCTAATCACTTCCCAGATTTGGTAAACATGTCTCATTAGATAATGATAAAAGCAATTACCCCAAAATAAGGAGACTAATTCTTGTTAGCCATGTGGCATTCGTAAATTCTTGATACACTGGGACAATGATACAAGGTCCTTTATAAGGCCTTCCATTGAGGGACTGCTATTCTATGCATGGAAAACTGAGTAATGAAAAGATGACTAAGGTAATTTATTATTCCTACTCTACTGAACGTGCTTAAATCCCATGAAAGCCAAACCACAGACCAAATATAAATCTTGTTCACAAATCTTGTCATGTCAACCTCTACAAAAAATAAAGTATTGTGTTTTCCTTACTGATTCAGATCTTGTAGATGACCCCAAATTATCTTTTTATGATTCTTTTCCCTTTCAGTTGCTTTCTTTATCTACCTACTAATTTTCACTTTCAGATAAACCTCTCTCATCCACAGTAGAGATCTAAACCTTTACTAGATCTGATTTTTTAATTTAAAAAGTAAAAAAATGCAAAATTAAATGATCGCCAAATATAGATTATAATTTTATTTTGATAAAATTTAGTAGGCCTTTTTTTTAATCATCCAATTTAATTTAAAATATTCCTTTACAGCAGGGGCTACTGTATAAGAGAATGTAAATTCATGCAATATACAAACACAAACCACAAGTCACATGAAAACAAAGTAGCAAGCTGCACATTAGGACTCAAATTAGGGGTTGTGACCTTTTGATATCAACACTTTTGAGTTGCTGCGTTTCCTAAAATTACTGGTGAAATGTCCCATCAGGACACAGTTCCAAGCAACAGTTGAGGTGAAAGACTGTATTACTGATGAACGTGTGACTTTAGATTTTAGTCATATGACCGAACACACACCTTTAGAAGCTACTTTAAGCTTAGGCCTAGGGACAGAAGTTACAAGCTGGTTTCAGTGACCAGAAGTTTTAAAAAGGCTGAAACTGGTTTAAGATAAACTTGGTTGTATGTAGTATCAGACTTAACTGATTTGGGACAAACCAGTTTATGAAAGTTCTGTTTCAGACCCCTTCCTGCTTCAAGTTAAATCAGAATTCCCCAGTATGCTCTGCAGCCCTGGGCTGGGCTTTCTGCTCCAGAGAGCAGGGCTGGCCCCACCCCACTTCTCCCTAGCTGGAGCACTAAGGACTGCCTTACTGGTTAGCTCACTGCCCCCCCGCTCCTGGCAAACTCCTGCTGGGGTCTGGGACTAGGGAGGGGGATTAAACTTCCTTTCCCTCAAGTACAGAAGTCCCCTGTCCTACTTGATTAGTATTGGTTTTGACTGTGGACTACAAATCCCAGAGGCACCAGGAAGCAGGAAGAGGAAGAGATGAGCAACCTTGAAGAGTCCTGCTGCTGTGACTGGATTGCAAATCCCAGAAACCTCAGGGGTAGCAGGAAGAGGCAGTGAACACACAGTCCATGCTGGCTATGTGCCAGAGAGCTGTGCTCTTGCACCCCCGGCTTCTGGCCTGAGCCACTGCAGGCATGTGGCTACATTTCCTGAATCAAATGAATGTCTGTTCATTTGCTAATTGGTTAGCTTAGACTAACCTGCAAAGACTAAATCAATTAAGCCTCAGGCTTTTTGACTGTCTCTACTTAGCCTATATGTTAAGTGATAATGACTTGAAGCTCTCAAACTTCTTTAAGGAACAACAACTATAATAAAAGTACACTTATGGTTTTCATAGATCTTATTAGCATAGATCATTTATATATTTTTCCAAACCTGGATGACTGAATGTCTTTTTCACCTCAGTCTTCACAGGCAAGATCAGCTCCAAGACTACTGCATCTGGCAGCACAGTTTGGGGAGGAGGTGAGCAGCCAGAAATGGTGAAAGGACAGGTTAGGAACTATTTAGGGCTGTGCAAAGCTTCGGTCCCTGATTCAATTCTGCAGAATTTGGTGGCCGAATCTCTGAATCCAAATTGAATCAGGAGACCCTTTCATCTCTGAATTGAATCGGAACCCTCTGAATCAATTCAGAATGTTTCAGCGATTTGGACATAGACACAGCTTTAAATGTTTTTTCTACATACCTTAAGGTAGCAGGTGGCTCCTAAATGCTGCGATGCTGCGGCGTGTGGAGTGTCCCACAGGAGTGCAAGGGGCTCCCCAGTGCACTTGACAGCAGACCCAGAAGTAGACCAGAAGCACTTCCAGGTCTGCCAGGGAACGCACTTGGGGGGGCCCCTCCTCATCCCTTTGGCTTGGCAACTGGTGCCTCCTGGGTTTGTGGGGGCACCTGGGGTCCCCCTATGGCTGATCACCAAGCCAGGAGGATGCAGAGGGGCCCCCCAGCATGCTCCCCAGTGGACCCGGAAGTGGACTGGAAGTACTTCTGGTCCACTTCTGGGTTCACCGCTGAGCATGCAGGGGCGCCCCCCTGCACTCCTCTGAGACATTCCATCGTCCCCAGCATCGCAGCATTCATGAGCCACACCTACTACCTTGAGGTATGTAAAGAAAACACTTAAAGCTGTGTCTGTGTCTGAATCTCTGATTCCCTGAATTGGCATCGAATCTTCAGATTCAGCTGAATCGAATCTGGGACAGTGAACTGAATCAACGAATCAAATTGCTGTCCTGGATTTGGGCCAAATCCAACTCAAATATGGCCCATTTCGCATATCCCTACTATTTAGAAAAGCTGGGTGTGTACAAGTCCGTGGGGTTGGATGCGATGCACCTGAGGGTGCTGGGAAAGTTGGCCAATGCGATTGCAGAGCCATTGGCCATTATCTTTGAAAACTTGTGGTGATTGGAAGAGACCTCAGATGACTGGCAAATATCATGCTCATCTTTAAGAAAGGGAAGAAGGAGGATCTAGGGAACTACAGGCCGGTCAGCTGCAGTTCATTCCCTGGAAAAAACATGGAGTAGATCCTCAAGGATTTCATTTCTAAGTACTTGGAGAATAAGAAGGTAATTAGGAACAGCACAGATTCACCAAGGGCAAGTTATGCCTGGCCAACCTGATTACCTTCTATGATGAGATGACTGGCTCTATGGATGTGGGAAGAGCCAGATTCTGTTTCCCTGGCATTGGATAGTCAATGTAGGAGGCGCAAGATTAGGATTTTAAAAGGGCCTAGCATTGCCTAACTCTATTTTCATTAAACTTACAAGAGTTTGGTGATTGACCTTAATGGGAGCAGAATTAAGCCAATGCTCAATACTTTTGAAAATTCCTTCTGTAACTTTTACATTTAGCCAAAACTTTTTGTAGCTAAAGCTAGGAACCATCATGCACATTTAGGTATGAGTGTTCAGCACCCCAGGGAAAAAAAGATTACTTATTCAGATACCAAAATATTGAATTAGAAGCCTACTTCTAGGCAGCAACATTGAAAATTGTATTGTGTGTGAGGAGATGGTCATAACTGCAGAAGAGCACTCATATGCTGTATCCAGATATCCAAGGGTCAAAAAACCCCATGGAATAAAAAGCACAAGTAGTGCACACAGGGTCAGTGTGCACTGCTCAAAACTGGAGCTAGGCTGGCTAGACATGCTCCAGCTCATGGCCTGGCTCCATGCGGCAGGATTGCCACTGCTGCAGCCCCAGGAGTCCCTCAGGACCCCACGTAAAGCTTCTGGGGTCAGCTCAGTGCTGGCCCAAGCCTCCGCTACCCCACCCAGGGGTAATTTGCTGTGCACCAGAGCGTGCATAACACAAGCATTCCCCAGGGACAACTAGGGGCTATAGGCTTTACAGGCAGGATAGAGAAGGAAGGAAAGGTTGGGGTGTGGCGCTCTATGTCAAAGAGCAATACACATCCTCTGCCAGCAGAATGGGGTCGGAGGAGGGGCAAGCTGAAGTGCTCTGGGTCAAGATACAAGGGGGCTGTGGGGAGAGGGATCTAATGGTGGGG